CTGTGTTTTTTTGTGCAATTTCGTTTTGCAATGCAGATCGTTGGTGAAACTACGACTCGATTGCAAATAAAGAGGAAATTGAAATGGAAACTAATCTCGTTGGGAGTTTAAGGAATTGATTGAACAGAACCAAAAACTATAATAATTCAGAACATAATTTAACTTATTAAAATTTTAAATTATTTATAATTAATTTATTGAAACTTCTCTTCCTCTTGATATTTATAATAAGAGAAGAATATTTATGATTGTTAGTATTACATGAAAATACATCATGTTAGTTTATTTGATCAATAATTAATTTTATTTTCACTCATGTTATCTACCACATTTTCAAACGATAGATATTACAGGAAATGTGCATTGGCGCTTACGTCAATTGGACGATTTCCAAGACACAATTCTTCCACTTAACCTTTGAAATAATTATCTAATACATTTCCTTTTGTATATTTTATTAGTATATATTTTATTACTGACAGTTTAGAAGAAAGATTTCTTTTAAATTCGATTGCTTTTAACTGAAAATAAATTTAATATCATTTTTGCGCTTTCGTTCATATAACGTTTAACATGACTACTTGAAATAACCTTGAAATAATAAAGTGAAGTATAAATATTTTTCTGTTATTCTATTTCAGTTTCGACATGTATTACACAATTAAATTTATTTATGCATCAGTTACATGTATAAAGTAAGAATACAAATTTCAATTCGAATACAAAAACATGCCTTTGTTATTTTCCTAAAAAAAATGTAAACAAATACAGTAAAACCTCGATATAACGAACCGCACCTCTTCAGACCGGACTTCGGATATAACGTACCAAATATTTTTAAATCATACTATTAATATTATTCAACTCGGGTTATTCCTCAAGTTGCTCTAATTTAATAAGCCTTTTTATCTATAATTTGCTTACAATATTCTATCCATACCCGCACCCTCTACCCTCTACCGGTTCCTCGTCTCAATCAACCATCTCTCCCAAAATCTGCCCCCTGTCCATCGCCACCACCCTCTCAGCAAGTGCTCCAACGTCTCCCAATCCTATCCACACAGCTAACACCACCTCTCCCAGTACCTTTTCCTTCTCTCCTCATTACTACAGCGGAATCTGGCCACCAATCTGTTCCCTTCCTCATCCCCTTCCAACAACAGATACTTTAGCAGTCCCTCTGTCACTATCTGCCCACACCTTACATTATATCTCCCTTCCCATATCTGTGATCTTCTCTCCTGCCTCTATATGTCGCCAGCCCTATCCCTTAGTTCTCTCCACACTTCTGTTGTCGATCTCACTTAGTGAATATTCTACTCTCCTATAATATCCTTCCCTATCTCCCTGTCCATATATCAACCTTCTTTCCTTGATTTCCCTCCAGCACTCTCCCAGGATCCTGCAATGCGATCTTCTTTTTATCCTTTTCCTTTCACTGCTCTTTTCCCAGCTTCCACCCTACTGCATCCACCTTAACCTCTTCCCTCACAATATACCATGGAGTCTCCTTGGCCAATCCTAGTACCCATCTCCAATACCTTGTTTGTACATCTTCCAGCAATGCTCTCCCTTGTTCTCTCCATCCCCATACTTCTGCGCCGTACATCATTGTGCTCCTCACTAAGCCCTCAAACATAACGTTTCTTTTTCCCATATCCTTCCTAAAAGTTATCTCATCGCCCTCACGTGCGACACGACATTATTACTCTCCGAGAACCCATATCCCGGGTACCTATACTCTTTCACTTCCTCTATGTCTCTTTCCTGGCATCTCCATTCCTGCTTTCTTCTCTACTCTTTGCAGTGCTTCATGATTTTTATCTTCTCAACGTTTACCTCCAATCCCTTCGCCTTAAAATATCTCTCCAGAGACCTTATCATCTCCTTCATCTCCACCCTCTGTTGCCACGACCACCAAATGATCCGCATGCGCCAACGCGTGTACCTTCGTTCCTCCTATCACCACCCCAAGACGGCTAAACACGAATAGTTCTACTTCTAGGTCTGGTGTTAGTTCTCATGATAACATTAGTTCTAGTTTTAGTTGCTATTCAGCGTTAGACTGTAGTGATCCATTGGTTCCTGAGGACAGTGCACACTCCACTCTTCAATTTTTCTGCTCATTTCATGTTGCTCGTTCATTACCTATACATCATAGTGTACGTGAATTTGTCCCTTTAAAACGCAAAGTTACCAAGGGCTTTCCTACTTGGTTTTCGCATAATACCATTAAAGTAATTCGAGAAAAAAGGAGGGCGCACTGTAAATGGAAACGTTTTGGCAACCGACTTGGCTACTTTACTTTTTCAATTCTAAGGAGTCGTGCAATGTATCTAATCGATCTTAATTACATGGAGTATGTTAGAAGAGCTCAAAGCAATATCCAATCTGACAAAAAGGTTTTGGGCTTTTATTAAGTTTAAGAAGCGTGCGGATCTCATTCCTTCTATTATATCATGGAATCGAACTGTTTCTGCGGTTTTTATTTATCCTTCTCCAATCCAGCAGAAAGTAGATTGTGTGGAAACAGATGCCCTTCCTTTGAGTCAGATGCAGTTCAACAGGATTGAGGTTGAGAAGGCTCTGATGGACCCGTGCGACGATAGCAACAAACCTCCCAGCAACAAACTTTTACCCGTAATTTCCTATCTACTTTCTTAGCTGATATCTTCCTTATAATTAGGGATAGCGAAAAACTAAATACCTCACTTGAAAGCTTGAATCTTTCTCTATCTAAAACCGGGTTTTTGTCTGTCGATAAGTTGATATTAAGATCAATAAAAAATGAAGAACATCGCGCTGTACTTAAAATAGCTCAAAATTACTAAACTTCAAGGCCTTGTGCAATTGTTATTGAACCGAATTTTAAAAAACTGTTATCACAGTCAGAAAGGGCGCTCCTTCAGCTACCTTAATCCAGGTTTTCGTCGTTCAATATCTATCGGCGTCATGCTTAAATCACCCTTAATGTCCATTCCTACACGCAGAATCGCTTAAATAATCTTCCTCTAAACAACTTTGTTATTTGATAGGGAGAAAACTATAGAAACATATCTATCTTATCGGAAATTTCCTGCTCTTTCTAGTGGTGTATAACACGCGGCGATCACGCGCTTGCACACGTACATTTTTGGCCAAAAACTATTAAATTCACACGTTTTAGCCATTCTTAAACCCTGTTCGGGTCGACANACCCGGATTAAGATAGCTGAAGGAGCGCCCTTTCTGACTGTGATAACAGTTTTTTAAAATTCGGTTTCGTAACAATTGCACAAGTCCTTGAAGTTTGATAATTTTGAGCTATTTTAAGTACAGCGCGGTGTTCTTCATTTTTTATTGATCTTAATATCAACTTATCGGCAGACGAAAAAGAAAGTAGATAGGAAATTACGGGTAAAAGTTTGTTGCTGGGAGGTTTGTTGCTATCGTCGCACGGGTCTCTGATGGGCATCAGGCTTACTATTGGTATTGGTACTGATGGTATTCCATATTTATTTTCCAAGCATTTAGGAAAGTGTTTGAGAAAGTGGCTCAAGCACGTCTATTCTTTGCCCTTAAATCTAAAATCAATTGTAGACAACATGGCTTTTTTTTGATGGTCGCGTGATTGAGAGTAACTTGCTTGAATATACCCAGTATATCTTATCTTCTCTGGATGATTCTTGTCAAGTTGATTCAGTTTATATGGATTTTAGTAAAGTTTTCGACAGGGTGGATCACAACTTACTTCTGTTTAAAGTAATGTAGTTTGGTATTCAGGGAAAACTTTTGCTATGGTTTGCTTCGTATTTGAAGGAAAGATGCCAGATTTGTTTCGGTTTTATTGTAATTATACCCATTGGAAATGTACTTTAAAAACATTGGTTGTGAATATTCATTTCGCCATATACGCAGGTTTAGAATAAAACTACAACTGATCGGTTTTATAACAAAATAAAATAAAAAATAATTTCATACTGGAATATGAATAGGTGTTTTTATCGTTTTAAAACGTCCTATTATCGTATTTCACCATGATAACTGATTTAATCTGCAATAAAATTCTATAAGTTATAGCTAGACATAAAGCACAATATTTTACGAAGACACACATTGGCTCTCCTCGCTGAAGGTATGATTCGTGTCGAGATATAAAATTAAATATCCTTTACCATTAAATTTTAACGTCCACGTATTTTTACCCTTGGAAATACATTTAATTTAAACTGTAATTCATGGCTTTCATGCCGCCTCGTGGATGTGTATTGATTTTTTCACCGACCACACGTAACTCGTATAAAAATCTGACGCAAATGTTGTTGAAAAAATTATTTAATACATATAAAAGCAAAAAAAGTGGCCGAAGCTTATGACATATTTAAAAGGGTGCAGGGCGAAATATTAAAACGAATAACATCCGCGGGGATTTTGGGAATTACTCGTTTTTTGACGGAGATTTGAAAAATTAAAATAAAAAAAAGAATGTATTTGCTAAAAAGATAATCAAATTGTTTCATCTCTAAATTCACGCGTGTGTGCATCACATGATCAACATTCCAAACAACTATTATAAATTGGCCACGTGAAAAGATAACAATTTGAAATAAACATTTCCGGGAATGATCTGTTTCTCCCTGAATAACAAATAATCGTTAGAAAGCGACTCCATAGCGATGCAAATTATCATATTAATCGAGATATTTAGTGGAAGTAAAACGACTGTACAAGTTACAACGGGAGTTCAGAAAATAGCAACCGTTTCCGACGGCATAAATTGCTCTTAAAATAAACAGCCGGTGGTCGTGGAACGTTTACTTGAAGTTGCATTGCTTCCAAGGTGCAGGTAATTACGGAAAATACGGGAAATAGTTACGTTCCTAGGTGAATCAACTATTCGCATACTTAAACTGTTTATAGCGCATAAATATTTACTTTAAAATTACCTTGAAATATGATGAAATTGATTAAAATAATTTTCTTTGTTTTATAGAAACAATTAAAACATTTTTCTTTTATAGGGTCAAAATGTTCCAAAGGTGGTCGTTATGGGTTCGAGTACAGCATCAGAAACCACAATCAATACCAGTACAGACAGTAATAACACAATGGTAACAACAATAACAGCTACCGATGGTGAAGTAACAGAAGATAGCCTGGATATGAACGAACCGATCGATATTTTAAACACCGAAAATGTTTTAGAGGGTAATTCAACTCATCCCATTTTACAACCGATAACGTTAAGCCCGACACCGCCACAAACAGGAGACATACAAAAAACTCCGGCAACAGCAAAACTAAACACTAAATTTAATTTTGAATTGGATCATTGTGTAGATGAGAAACGAAGGGAATCGGTACATTACGATCAAATAGAGGCGATCCGTATTGATGCCAGAAGAAGGAACAGCTATAAAGCGGCAGCTCAAGGTGATTTTGATAGAATTGAAGTGTATCAAGATGAAGAAAGAAGACCGAGCTATCGATTCAGAAATGGGGATTTTGACGGTAATCCTGGTGATTCTCCTAAGTCAAAAGTTTGTGGTAAAAAACATCAGTCACCAAGTCATCATCAGAAAGATAATAATAAGTTTAACTACGACGAAACGCACATCGCCCGGTATAACGAGAAGTCTCGAATGACTCCTCCGTTGCCGGACTTGAGAGTGGACTTCTTCAGCGAATCCGTGGACGGTTGCCAAGAACAAACACTGTTGGCTCCTGGACATTCAATGGAAAAAAGGGGCAGCGTATGTCTGAATAAATGCCTGCGAGAAGTGGGAGCACAGCTTGAAGCCAACGTATCTACGTCTCCTATAAATGTTACCACAAATCCGTTGGAGAACCCAGTTCATTTCGGCGGAAGGAAGCAACCACAAGCCACTATTGTTGTTCAACAACCTTCGTTAAGTTTAGATCAAGCTAACGTGTCGACGATCTTGCTGAGAAACGGTAGTGAATTTGTGTCGAACGTTGAGAGTGCCCCTAGTGGAAAATTAAGTAAGAAGCAAAAAGAGGAAAATATGAAGCAATTACTAGACGTAGCGGGAAATCTTACAGTCGAGGAAATTCACGACTTCGAAAAGAGGTAAGATTTATAGGTGATAATTTCGTTTGAGTTGTAAACTGCAATGCAGTAAAAATAGAAAGGAGTAAGTGAATTTTCGTTAAAATTAGAAACTATGTGATATTCGAGTTTATTTCTGGGGTGTTATGAAAATAAATGTGGTTCAAAAATATAAAGTAGAAAATATTATGTAGTACGAAATGTAAATTATGAATGAAAATCCAAATATAAAACAAAGAATTACTTCAAAAAGAATCAAATAGTAATTTTATAAAGAATGCCTCAACAAAATTCTAATAGATATTATTCACAGAACAAGACACGAAACATTCTAATTTATTCTATTAAACAATATAAATTGGTAAAGTTCCAAAAAAACATACATTAGTAAAATTGGCGAAAAATATGCAAAGATTGCTACCGGATATGCACAAACAAAACGTTACGGTCGTTTTGAAATTCCGTGGGTGTTTACACAACGCCAGATTTGTTGATGTAGGCAATGTGAAAATTTCCGTTTACATTGTCAGGTTTTGTTTTGATAACCGTCGAAATGACGGGCTTTACTTTTAGTTTTGTTTTGTTGTCCAATCGACCCCGGGTCGAACCAAAAATATAGCAAAAACAAAATTGTTTTGTTATGGTGTTATAGAAAGATACGATACCGATTGGATATGGTTGGAAATAAATTGAAACGGAATCATTTCCTATTGTTCAATTGTTCGATACACCTGAAAGTGAATTCCGTTATCATAGAGAGATATATTCATGTAAAATGAAATTGATTCAATTTTTATACTAAAAATTAAATCCATTATAAAGATAACTTTTTTAATGTGTATTTTTGGGTCCGTGGGGACACATCAAACAGTGATGAAATTCGTTGAAAACGAATTTTTTATTTTTAACAAGTTCAACATAGAAATTATTTACGATTCATTTCTGGTTAAACAGTTAATGCGTCCAGATGTCTTCCAGTTATGCCAATTTTATCACAACGCGTTCATTTTCAAACTATAAATACGTCTAGACAAGCGGTCTGTGTCGTTTTATAAAAGCTACAAAATATTTTATTTATACCACAAAATATACAACAACTTTGTCTTAACTCTCTAGTATCTAAATAGAAATTATCAACGTTATATTTGAAATTACTTAACCATGTTACAGTAAAATCTCGATATAAGGGATCTCGTTAGAACGGACTTCGGATATAACGAACAAAATATTCAAAACGGCTTGTGGCATTAAAAAGAGGACACTTTAATTAATAATTGGTGATATTTCCACAAGCATCCTTCAAGAAATTAATTTTATAGCGAATTTTGAAAATTGCGACATCGAATCTCGATCGATATTTTTTTCTCAAAAACTAAAAGCTATTTTTCAAAACGGGTTGGTTTATTGGAAAGAGGATACTTTTATTAACACTTTTTGTAATTTTCAAACTCATATTCCAAGAAATGGATTTTATACGAATTTTTAAAACCTAATCAGCGAAAATTAAAAAATTCAAAAAAATTATCGATCATTTCAAAAATTTATTTCTCAAAAACTAAAAGCGATTTTTCAAAACGGCCTGTTGTATTAAAAAGAGGATACTTTAATTAATAACTGGTGATATTTCCACAAGGATTCTGCAAGAAATTAATTTTATAGGGAATTTTGAAAAATATCGATGAAAATTGCAACATCGAAAATTTTATCAAAACTTCAAATATTGTTTCTTCAAAAACTTAAAGTTATTTTTCAAAACGTGTTTGTTCATTGGAAAGGGGACACTTTTATTAACGCTTTGGGAAATTTTCATACTCATATTCCAAGAACTGGATTTTCTACGAATTTTTAAAATTTAATCGGCGAAAATTGTAAAATTCGAGACAATTGTCGATTATTTCAAAAATTTATTTTTCAAGAAATAAAAGCGATTTGTTAAAACGGGTTGTTGTATTAAAAAGAGGACACTTTAATTAATAATTGGTGATATTTCCACAAGGATCCTTCAAGAAATTAATTTTATAACGAATTTTGCAAGTAATCGATGAAAATTGCAACATCGAAAATTTGATCAAAACTTCAAATATTGTTTTCTCAAAAACTAAAAGTTATTTTTCAAAGCGGGCTGGTTCATTGGAAAGAGGACACTTTTATTAACACTTTGGGAAATTTTCATGCTCATATTCCAAGAACTGGATTTTATATGAATTTTTAAAACTTCATCGGCGAAAATTGAAAAATTCGAAAAAAATTTCGATCANTTTGGGAAATTTTCATGCTCATATTCCAAGAACTGGATTTTATATGAATTTTTAAAACTTCATCGGCGAAAATTGAAAAATTCGAAAAAAATTTCGACCATTTCAAAAATTTATTTCTCAAAAGCTAAAAGCGATTTTTCAAAACGGCTTGTTGCATTAAAAAGAGGATACTTTAGTTAATAATTGGTGATATTTCCACAAGGATCCTGCAAGAAATTAATTTTATAGCGAATTTGGAAAATATTGATGAAAATTGCAACATCGAAAATTTTATCAAAACTTCAAATATTGTTTACTCAGAAACTAAAAGTTATTTTTGAAAACGTGTCGGTTCATTGGAAAGAAGACACTCTTATTAACACTTTGGGAAATTTTCAAACTCATATTCCAAGAAATGGATTTTCTACGAATTTTTAAAATTTAATCAGCGAAAATTGCAAAATTCAAAAATTCAAAAATTTATTTCTCAGAAACTAAAAGCGATTTGTCAAAACGGGTTGTTGTATTAAAAAGAGGATACTTTAATTAATAATCGAAAGTGATAACAGCGACAGTTGTGTTAGTAATGAATATGACGATGAATTACAAGCGAAAAGAAGAAAACTATACGAAACTGCAACAAGAGATTTTATATATAATATATTGGGATTGTTACAGTGAGGTTGTTAATGACAAACCTGATATAAATAAAGTTGTATTCAATGAAAAATGTCCTATAGGAGTTGAACTTGATTATTATCTGCAGCATCCAACATTTAAAAGAGATACTAATTCCTGTGAATGGTGGAGTACTAAGTAATAGGTTTTTAATATCCGGCCAAAGCCAGATATTTGGTAACTATCTGGTATCCGGCCAGATTTAAAAAAATGACGCACGGCTAAACCCGAATGTTTCTAGTTCTAGGTCTAGTGTTAGTTTTAGTTTTACTCGTTATTCAGTGCTAGAATGTTGTATATTTTTATTAAACTAAGAGTAGAACTAACACTAGAACTAGAAACATTCGGGGTTAGCCGTCTTAAAAGATATGCCCCGAATGTTTCTAGTTCTCAGTTTAGTGTTAGTTCTAGTGCTAGCTCTGTTATTTAGCGCTAGATTGCTGTATTAATCCGTTATATCGAGATTTTACTCTATTTAGAACGCAATAATTTTTGTCACTGTCATCAATGAGGCTAACGTTTTTCTAACACCATCAACGCGTGTTATTTTGAGTTAAATTAGTCATGAAGATTTCGTAAAGATTTTAAGTATCTGAGGAAGCTTTCTAGTGGGGTATAATTTAAAATGATTCATTCGGTTATAATTTAACCGCAAAGCTCTTGTCGCCAATATTAGTTTCCGCTATTCTTGAATATAATCCGGCCTTAAAATAGCGCAAAGTGCACCACCAAGAGGCTATTTATAAGTCGTTAAAGTCGCATAAAACGGGACTCTTTCATGTGTGTTCTATTCTTAGTGTTACTACTGATAAGTGGTGAACAGTCGGTTTTACACTTTCTTTGTATATTGTGTGTCGAGATCGAATTTGCGGACTTCGTGTAATAACGTTAATCCATCCGGTTTATGACAGAGACTGATGAGGGCTCGACAAATAGTGGCATTGCATGACGGGAACTATAAAATATTGGATGTCATAAAGAATTTTGCGGTGCAACATAAAAGATGACGCACGAAGGTATAACGAATCAATGCGGAAGAAACTAAGAATAAACTTACGGGAGAGTTTCTCCTTGAAATAAGTTTTTAACAAACAAGCTATTCTTGTTTACAACCTCATCCTCAACTTTGCAGATACGGCAGTCCTCACCACAACAGATCCCAGTCGGTGAAGACCCCAGGGAGATCGAGTGGAAGGCCAAACTACCTTTGTTTACCTCAACAGCGGTCTCGTGTGGCCTCAATGCCAAACACCGGGGTCGAAGAGGAATATTACAGGCTCCGACATTTCTCCATAACAGGCAAAGGGGTTGTTAATAGAGGAGATAGTTTAAAAAGCAGGAGATCACGTTCAAACAATTCCGTTGCTTCCAGTAACTCAAGGTAAGTCAACAAACACATATTTCCGTCATTTATACAAAAATAACTCAAGAAGATTTATAATATTTATATTTAAAAGGAAACATTTGTTTAAAATATTACCGCTATATATTTTACTTTTATACATACCATAGTTTCCCGACGTTGCTATTTTTTTTCCACAAAACATAATTATATTATAAATAAGCTTCTCTTGAAAATTTCATCTCATCTTTTCCCATTGTTTCGTGGATGCTCGTTACGTTCTATGCATATGTTCCAAAGCACGTATTCTCCACAAGGATTAGATTCCTCCTGGGACCGAGTGTCGCTCCAGGCGATCCTAAGAGAGACCGAATAAATTCGTAATCCATACCGCGTTCCAGATGCAAGCGAAACCGACACATGTGCGAGAGATTCGTCGGAGAATTTCCGAACAACGTACGAAAAATAGCGTTGTTGTCTCGAACGTTTCTTCGACTGAATTGTAATGGGCTATTTTTCGAGGAAACCGAAGCGAATTTTAAAGAATTTTCAGTAAAATTCGAACAAAGTTTAAAATTCTGAAGGTTTTCAAGAAAGGCTTCTTTGAACCAATTTAGAATTGACTCATAGTTAAATGAGTAATGGTTAAAATTAACTTTGGTAACTAACTCAATAATAAGTGAATAAATACAAAACATAAAACTCGAAATAAAAATATAGCTACTGTTCCACCTCTTCGGAGTTGGCTCGGAATTTCTCCAGACTTTTTAACAAAAATTATAACAAAAAAGTACCTAAAATAATTCTTAGACAAGGAAAAGGAGTCATATCCGTAACAATGCCCGAATATGAATAGACCTCAAAGACCGAGTGCGCGTTCCGTCATGCTTGCATCTAAATAACTCGAGATGTACGATTTGTTATTGTACATTTACGTAGAAAGATTTCATGAAAGTGTTCAAAATACCGGTTTTCCATTTATATTTGATTTCATTACGTTCTAGTCGTTACCGCAACTGAGCAACATTTCATAATGGTATTTCAAACACAAAACATTTCAAATAACATCATGTCAAAATATAAAGAACCTATCAAGTGTTCTGGCAAAACCATTTATATTGCAACTTTTTCATGGTTGTAATGACTTTGATTATGGTTACTGTTGTCATACTTAACCGGATGTTTATCAACTCATAAAGGGAAATACTGTTTCATCTCTATCATCACGGAAATCACAATGTATGGTGGACTGGATAATCTTGGATATAGAATTAAACTTTTTCAATGGCAGGTCCATTTTAGCTGTGGTCTTCGTGAACGATTATCTATATAACCATGATAATTGTACTTTCAAACATGTCAAGGATTTAGACAATTTATAAATTAAACAACGCAGAATGCTTATCAACCTCGCTTTTCTCCAGAGATACAGAAAGTGGAATGTGACGCCACCGCTTATGCACAAGAATCTAAAACTGTTAACTAAGTGAAAAGATAATTCGACTGCATCTCAAAATTTCGAGTTCCATGTCCAAACAAGACTGACAATGAGACAAATTGAATAGGATAATCATGGAGAAACGGATGCCAAAAGAAAAAATTATGTGTGAAGCAGAGACAACTATTCGCATGAAGTGGTCCATCAAGACGTCACAAGAGTATTAAAAACAGTTAAATCACAAAATTTCACCAACTTGACAGTTGATAAAATTAAAGTTTTCTGTAGTATAAGAAAGAGAACTGACGCAATCGTCCTGCCTGCAGACATAGATGATGGACAAAAGGAACACGAGAACGATATGAATCCAGATCCGATACGATCCAGATATCTACAGCCAAATTAAAAAGAATCTCACGGATAAAATAGTTAGAACCATGAACAACCTAATTTAATTGACAGATACTCCAAAGCAAAAATAGATCCATGGTTTACAAAAATCAAAGTCTACATACTTTGCAAAACACTTCTCCAAAGCATTGTCGCCCTTTACTCACACCTTACAGTTGGAAAACACATTGTGTCGAATTAATTAGCAATATTTCCATGGCACCACAGGACATGTTAATCAGATTCGACGTGCAATCACTTTTTACCAAAGCACCGGTGAAAGATACCTTGGAACTTATTAACTTGTAGAGTTTTGCGTGCCATCGCCTTACTTGAAACTGGAAAGGAAAGTTTTATGAGCCATATGAAGCAGTTTAGGCAGTTTAAGCAGTTTTAGCATTTTAGGAGCAGTCATGGAATCGCCGTTATCAGCAATCATCGACAACTTCTACATGGAGCTATTTGAAGAAGCGATTTTAAAAACAATTTAAACAAATATTTGGAAACCAAAGATATGTCTACAATACGTAGATGATACTTTCCTCATCTGGGCACACGACAAACAAAGGCTTGAGGATTTCTTAAACCATTTAAATACCCAGCATCTAACGATTCTAGTTTACCATCGAGAAAGAAAAGGTCAACTAGCCGCTGTTCCTCTGTTATCAGCAACCACACCAACAGGCGTTTAGAAACAGGATAGTATTACCGATAGCAGAGAACAAACTTCCTCTGTTAAAGACATCAGATTAAGAAAATCAGAACAGTTAGCAGTCGCAGCACATTGCCACATGTACCAAAAAAGATACCATAAAATAGATTTCAATATTTGCCAGGAGATCATAAGAACAACATTAAAAAGGGAATGGTATCGAGCTGAGCCGAACCGATAAGATTTTACTGGATCTTTTTCCAAGTTTCTTTGTCTTTAAACTAAGATTAGAACTAAAACTAGAACTAACACTAGAAACTTTCGGGTTTTGCCGTGCGTCTTTTAATAAAAGGTTTGACGTTTCGGATGCCATGTTGCAACCTTCTTCAGAAACTGGTTCGAAGTGACGAGATCAAAAAATCGGTAACTATATATAAGTCGGAAAAACTAATTAATAATCAGTTAACGCTAATTACAAACTAATTAATAACTAATTGCGTCGCGTCCGGTGTGAGGCGGGAAGAGGTCTTCGTGTTCACCACCATCTTCCATGTTCTGCTAAGCTCCCAGCCATCCTCTCTGTTGACGTTATTTTTATGTCGGTGAATCTCTATGGCTTCTCTTGTCAGTCTTTGGTAGTATCTGTTGTCCCTAGCCAGCACCTTTGTTTGTTCGAAGTCTATTCGGTGCCCCTCTGCATGGCAATGTTCCGCAACCGCCGACTGCTGGATCTTCTTCAGCCTTACATCCCTCTCATGCTCCTTGATGCGGCACTCGACGTTGCGTCCAGTTTGGCCAACATAAACCTTCCCACAACTACACGATAGTCGATAGACTCCCGCTCCTTTTAATGGAGTTAGTTTGTCCTTGGCTATCGGGAGTGTGTTCCGAATTTTGCTGACCGTGCCGTACCGCACTACGATGTCGTTCTTCTTGAGGTGCCTAGCAATTCGTTCCGTTACACCTGAAACATAGGGAAGACAGATAAATCCAAGTGGTTTTGTACTTACCGTGTCCTCTTTCTGCTTTCGCTGCTTGATGGCCTGGTTGATGTCCCTCGAAGTGTATCCATTCTTCTGCAGCACGCCTCGTAGAAAGTGTTGCTCCTTCTTCAAGTTCTCTCCTTCACATAGTCTCGCTGCTCGCTGAAATAATGTACGGATCACGGACCTCTTCTGTTGGGGATGATGATGTGAACATGCCTGTAAATACCTGTTGGTATGGGTCTTCTTTCGGTATACACCAAGTTCTATATCTCCATTTGTCGTCCTGGTGACCAACACATCTAGGAAAGGTAGTTTTTTGGCAGTTTCTGTTTCCATGGTGAACTTAATCATAGGATGTTGAGAGTTCAAGTGATCCAAGAACTCTTGGAGCCGTTTTTGACCATGTTGCCATATCACAAACGTGTCATCCACATATCGGAGCCATAGTTTTGGTTTCCACTGGCTCTTCTTCAAAGCGTCCTCTTCGAATAATTCCATGTAGAAATTAGCTATAACTGGCGATAGTGGAGATCCCATGGCTGCCCCTTCGAACTGCTCGTAAAATTCTCCTTTCCAGCTGAAATACGTCGACGATAAGCAATACTCCACCAGATCTGGCACGTATCCTGGTAAACCCTCCGGAATGAGTTTTCGGCGAAGACCCTCTACAGCATCCTTAACTGGTACCCTAGTAAAAAGGGATTCCACATCGAAACTTACCAACATATCCCCAGCATCCAGCTTTACACCTTTTACCGATTCCACAAAATGTGTAGAATCCCTGACATACGATTCCGTGTTACCTGTAAAGGGGGACAGAATCTTTGCAAGATGTTTAGCCAGCTGGTATGTTGGGGAGTTGATGGCGCTGACGATAGGGCGGAGGGGGACGTCTGGTTTGTGAATCTTCGGTAGTCCGTAGATTCTTGGTGGTACCGGCGCCTGCACAAACAAACATTTCTGCTGTTCTGCTGGAATTCCTGTGGATTTTATCAGTTCCTTCATTTTTCTAGCGATTTTGTCTGTGGGGTCCTTCTTGATCTTCCTGTAGGTGGCTGGGTCCAGTAAGTTTATCATTTTGTCGTCGTATTCTTTCGTCGCATTTTTCGTTTGTCTTGTTCCAAATATTCTTTGAGAAAAAAGTATTTTATTTTTTCTGCTAAATCTGTAAGAACAGAATTTCAGCACTATTTTGTATTAACGCTCACAAACGTATAGACTAGCCATTGTCATTGTTCGAATGTGATGTGCATCTAGAACTCATCATAAAGCTTTAAAAGACATTTTGAACCATCTTTCCGTTTCGAACTATAACTCTTAACAAATATGGTTGATTTCAGTAATTTTAGACAATTATTTATTTAAGCAATTTATGCCAAGAGGAGGAAGATCTGATCCATTTTAGATTCAAAAGCTGGCAATATTAGTTGTCTGTTTTTACCTAAAAATACCTCATCCATTATTCAGCTTTGGACTAAGCAATAATTTTAGGCACAAAGTGAATATGAAGAAAAGAATTTTTGATGAACTGATGCTGATATTAAGGAAGGAAGAAAATGGTCACTTCTATCTG